CCAGTCTCCTGTCCATCTCCCTGCTTGCAGCTCTTCCCTCTTTAATCGATCTCAGGTCAGAGTCCCATTTGGTCATCCCATCACTTACCCGTCTCTTTCTAGTGTCAGACACTGGAACAGACGCCCGACTGTCCTTCCCTTTAAGCGGGGGCCACGTGCCTGCTTCAGGGCAGGGCCGCCCCACCTCGTTCACATCCTAGCGCCCGCAGAATGGGGTTCCACTGTGGGGCGGCCCAAGGCCAACTGGGAGATCGGAAGGGTCCGTTGAGACTTGAACAGAACTCCAAAAAGAATTCGTTCTCTTTCTCTTTATAATTACGGTAAGAAGAACAAAGTATAAAGCATTGGAAATATTAAATATTGAATCTGTGTAAAATCCACAAGTATAATCGTACATTTTTCACCAGAGAAATGTAAAACACCTCTGCGAACTGTAAGAATAAACCCTTAAATGGTTCCGTTTTGAAGCATGTCGTTATCTCCTTCAGTCGGCGCGGCCCTCTTAGCCGTGTTTCAGAGGTAAAGAAACAAACGCTCAGAGCAGGCAGGCAAATCGTTGGCTCAAGGCTGCACGGATGCCGCGTGACAGAGGCCGTCACTTGTCAGCTCCCGAGTTGCATTTAGTTAGAAATTAAACAATTACAGTAGTTTCCATTTTTACTTTTATTTTCAGCAAAATCCAGGATTTTCCATTTAAATTTTACAGTGAAGACTGGATTCATGATCAGCTCCGACTCACGTTCTCTTCCAGGCCGTGAGCATGAGGGTCACTGTTTCTGCCACATCCGCATCTCTGAACCTCCCAGGTTTGAATTTCGGGTAGAAAGTCCCCCTCCCGTCAACAGTCACCACATCCCAGTGGTAGATACTTTTAGCTGTTGTTAGTTACGTCTTCGGCGTGTTTTTTTTCTCGGTAATTTTCATTATGAATTTGATAACAGGCTGATCAGTAGTTTTATTTCTTAATTAGTCCATTGGAAATTGATGAGCAGTTTTGTGAAATGGGGAGTTGAGATGAAAAACACAGGGAGTGGGGTGCCAGGGGCCGTGAGCCCCGGACACAGTCGGGGTCTGGAGGTTGGTGCTGAGGCCTGGACGCCCTGTGGGCCCCTCTTCACTCCGGCTCCAGGGGCAGCTACCCCCAGGGGTGCCTCTGCCTGCCCGGGGCCTGTCCCGTCCCCTCTGTGGAAGCCATGTCCTCCAAGGAAGAAGGGCGGGAGGGCCAGGGTGTCCACTGGCCGAGGGGCTCACCTTGCCCAGGTTCCTCCCAGATCTGCCTGGGGGAGGGGGGAGGCTCCCCAGGAGCACTTCCCTGGAAGGTATTCACTGAAAAACAGCTACATGAGCACAGTGACACTGTCCGTCAGGTCGTGGTGGTGGTTGGAAGATGGTACCTCTGTTGTCACCGTTCATGTGAAGGAGGCGGTCCATGTGCGGGTGGGCCTTGTTGCCCCCTGGGCCCCAGGCCTGCCTCATCGCTTTAACTTTGGCCTTATTAGCTCATTTCTTTCTCTGTTTTTACTTTGTTTTCCTTTTCTTTGTTGTGGATGTCATATGCCTCTTTGGTTTGATTGCGTAGTTCTTACTGAAGGTACTGAGGAAATGAGGATTAGTGAGACTCTGCCCCTGTGCTCATCGGGCCGGCTCCTGGTCTGGGGGGGGACTGTCAGTGTCCTGGGACAGATTGGTAGGAGCACGGGGGTGGGGTGCAGGAGGGGCACGGGGACACACAAGAGGAAGAGACAGTTCAGAGGTCAACAGGACACGGGCATGTGCCGCCAGAGGAAGGGCCGAGGAGGCCTGGCGTGCACCGGCCTGTGCCGGGTGCAGAGGCCGCGTCTGAGCACACACCGTCAGGAAGAGTGCCCATGCCCTGGGGCAGAATCTGGGCGTCCTTGGGTGCATGGGGCGCCTGGGTGGCTTAGTCGGTTAAGCGTCCGACTTTCGCTTAGGTCATGATCTCGCGGTTCGTGGGTTCGAGCCCCGCGTCGGGCTCTGTGCTGACTGCCAGCTCAGAGCCTGGAGCCTGTTTCAGTCTGTGACTCCCTCTCTCTCTGACCCTCCCCTGCTCGCACTGTCTCTCTCTCTCTCCTAGAAATAAATAAAATATTTAAAAAAAAAAAAAAAAAGAAACATGGGGTGTACCGTTGGTGGGAATGGAGACTGGTGCAGCCACTCTGGAAAACAGTGCGGAGGCTCCTCAGAAAGGTAAAGATAGAACTACCTTCTGACCCAGCAGCTGCACCACTAGGCATTTACCCAAAGAACACAAACCTACTGACTCAAAGGGGCACATGCACCCCAATGTTTACAGCAGCGCTATCAACAAGAGCCAAAGTATGGAAAGAGCCCAGATGTCCATCAGCTGATGAATGGATAAAGAAAATATGGCGTGTGTGAAGAGAATATTATTCAGCCATGAAAAAATAAAATCTTGCCATTTGCAGCAACGTAGATGGAGCTGGAGTGTATGATGCTAAGCAAAATAAGGCAGAGAAGGAAAAATACCATATGATTTCACTCATGTGGAATTTAAGAAATGCAGCAGATGAACATAGGGAAGGGAAGGGAAGGAAAAATAAAATAAAAACAGGGAGGCAAACCATAAGAGACTCTTCACTGTAGAGAACAAAGTGAGGGTTGGTGGAGGGGAGGTGGGGGGAGGGGCTAGATGCGGGTGATGGGCATGGAGGAGGGCGCTTGCTGGCGGGTGCACTGGGTGTTGTATGGTATGGAAGGGATGAATCACTAAATTCTACTCCTGAAACCAAAAAAGGAAAAAGAAAAAGAAAGGGTGTGTGTAATGGCCCCTTGGCTCCACTGTTACCCCTGACCGTGCCAGGAGGGGCATCTGACCTTTGGGGGAGGGGCCCAGGCCTTCTCCCACCAGGCGGCCAAGCCCAGCACCTGGACAGCGTCTGGGGACACCGCAGGCAGCTGCCAGCCCCCTCCCTCTGTCTGCACCCGTCCGCAGGCAGGTTCAGAGCCGCTTCCTGCGAGGACGCTCCCAGCTGCGGCGGGACGTCTGAGAAAGGGGGTCTCCTAGAGCGTCAGGCAGGGGGTGCCATGGGCGGGGCCTAGTGCCCTCCGCCTGGCGGCTGCGTGGGCCCCTTCGCAGTCCGAGGCGGATGAGAGACGGGTGCGTATTCCTGGCGGACTCAGGATGAGCCTGGATCCCCTTCCGCGGTGGATCCGGCTGCGCGCACGGCAGGGAGCATCTTCCAGAGCCGATGCAGAAAACTACTTGTTTGCTAAGTGAGGGTGAGGAACAGACAAGGGCAAGACACAACGGACCTGGATTATTTGATGGTTTTTGATAAACAAGTTGTCTCACTAGCGGTGGTTGGGTTTTACGCCTTGAAGCATCGCTGTGAACAGTCATTATTTCTGGTCTCCCGCTGATTTGTCTTGGTTCAGCTCCTAGACTCGAGGCCCAAGGAACCTATAAATCTAGGAGTGGTGAGCGCCCGGCAGACAGGGAGAGTCTGAGAACGCACGCACCTGGACGAGGTCGATGGGCAGGTGGTGAAGGAGGTGGGACCCAGCAGGCCGCACGCGGGTGTGGCTGAAGGGCTGTGGCTGGGGTGGGCCCCCGCCGGCACGTTTTGTGGATGGGGGCCCGGAGCCCCAGGGAGATGCGGACAGGACAGCCGTCCACCGTGTCGCTCTCCAGGCCGTCGACCGCGCTCTGCAGACGTGACCTCATCGCCTAGCACGGCTGTGAGGCGGGGGTCGGAGCATCGCCTCCCGCGTGCACGTGGGGCACCGCCGGGTCGCTCCCGCCCCTCTCTCCCCGCTCAGTCCCGCCGGCTGGTAAACACCCGGCCTCTCTGTCAGCCCAAGCTCTGCTTCCAGGCAGACAGCTCGGTCCTCACCACCGCTGCCCCGGCGGCCTGGCACGCCGTCTCTTCGTGCCCCCCCTGCCCGTCCTGCTCCCCGGCGCTGCCTCGCTGGGCCGCCCACCTCCGGCCGTCGTTCCCAGGCCCCTGCCCTCCCCCCACTGTCTCGCCGGGTCTCCGTCCTCACCAAGAGCAAAGGCCCAGGTTACAGCCGACGTGTTTTGTGCTGCCGGCACTGGGGACACGGCCACGAATGGAAACCTCGACTCACTGTTGTGTCAGCGGAGGGGGGTCAGGCACTCACGTTGTTCAGTCCGCGCGTTAGGTGGGCGGATGCAGCCTCGAGTGACGGAGTCCGGCCCCACCAGGTTCTCCCAGTCCTACAGGAGAGAGAGAGAGAGAGAGACAGACAGACAGACAGACAGACCCGGCTGATAAAGTCCTGGTTGTGATGCCTTGTGAGCCCGGTGGTCAGATCCCAGTGAGCCGGGCCGAGCGCGTGGCTGGGAAGGCGGGGAGACGGTCCGTCCTCCGTGTCTGGGACAAGCGCCTCCAGCCGGGCCACTGCCTCCGCCCGGGACAGCCACCAGCTTCCTTCTCTTCGCCCCGGGTCTTCCTGCACCCTCTCCCTGTTCTCCCCCGTCTGAGCCGCGGGGTCTCCCTTGCCACGCCCGCCCTGAGACCCCTGTCTGTCCCATCCTTGTCCCCAGGAGGCTGGCCCCCGAGGCTTTCTCTCTCCCCTGCATGCGTCCCGTGCGCCCGCAGCTCTGCTCAGCCGACTCACGGGCGCCGTGTGCCCTCCTGTGTCCCCTCCGCTCCCGCCGGTCGCAGCCCCGCCACCTGACGGTGCCCCCACTTCTGCCCCGAACTCGTCTTCTCATTGCCCCGTGTCCCTATCGGGAAGCTTCCACCGCCGCCTCCACGCGGGCAAGCCCAGGGACAGTGCAGCTCCAGCCCGCGGGCCCCCCCCCCCCCGTTGGTCTCCCACGTTCCTGCCGCCGCCCCCCCGCCCCCCGTTCTCCGCCCCCCAGGCCTCTGCTCTGGCTGTGGCACCTGCCAGGGGCACCTTCCCCCGGCTGTGCTTTCCGCCTACCCGCACGCGGCCGCCTCCCCCACCAGCATCTTACCTCCCAGTGAAGCGTCTGTGTGCTTCCCTCCCAGGAGATGGCCGGCCGGGCTCTCAAGCAGACGGGCAGCCGGAGCATCGAGGCCGCCCTGGAGTACATCAGCAAGATGGGCTACCTGGACCCGCGGAACGAGCAGATCGTGCGAGTCATTAAGCAGACCTCCCCAGGTGAGCTCAGACCCGCAGCCCGGGGGGGTCCGGTGTGGCCCTGGTCAGCAGATTATCTCCTGGCACACGGCCCTGCTCTGCATCTGGAGCCTGAAGGGGAGCCAGCGGGGGGGCAGCCCCTGGGCCTTACCTGGGTGCTCCCTCTTCACGTCTGAGATAACCTGCGGGACTTGCGCAGGCGGCTGCCGACATGTTTTGTGTCGCGCAGCGTGAGATCTAAAGTGGGCTTTCTACTTTCTCTTGGGCCTGTGAGGGAGTCTTTGAAAAAGCAGGTGTATTTCACTGATTTTAAAACACACCTTTTCTCCCACCGTAGCCGCCGAGCAGGCTGGCAGGCGCCTCCCTGGGCCGGATGCCTTGGGCAGTGGTGCAGGGACGCCCCCTTAGGTCCCCCGGGAAGGGCCAGAGCACCAGCACCGAATGCCCTGCCTCACTGGCTGCCAGCGAATGTTCCTCTTAAAGGATGAGACAGCTGGGAGAAGTGTGGGTCCCTGGGGTCCCCGGCTGTGATGCGGGATTCATGACACTTAGCAAAAGGAGCTTTCCTGATTCTGTGGGAGATCTTGGCTACAACCCACTTCATCTGTTGAGTGAGAAGTTACATCTTCATCGTTAAGGGGACGCAAACTTGTTTTCTCTTTGGTAGAAGCTTCTTAAACTGCTGCGTGTTGCCCATCCAGATTCTCAGGCCCCGCGTGGGGCCTGGAGTACAGCTGCCTTGGGAAACGCACCCCACAGCCGTGACGATTCTCCTCTGCATGTGCCCGTGACGTGCGTTTGCTGACAGTCTTCTTAGCCCGGGTTCTGCAGGGTGTCCCCGCGCGGGGCCTCCGCCGCCGGAGGCAGCCCGGGCTTGCCACAGCCCACTTCGGCCTGGGTCGGAGGGCCTCGCAGGGGGCCCGCGCGGGGGCGGCCGTGCCGGTGGCCAGCCCGGAAGAGGCGGCCCCCCTCTAACGCCGTGTCCCCGTTCTTTCCGCTGCAGGAAAGGGCATCGCACCGGCCCCCGTGCCGCGGAGGCCGAGCTTCGAAGGAACAGGCGACCCTTTCCCCCCCTACCACCAGATGGGCGGGGCGGCCTACGAGGGCGGCGCGCTGGAGGAGGTGCCGCGCCCCTACGTGGACTTCCTCTTCTCGGGGAGCGCCCACGGCGTGCCCGGCGCCCATCAGCACCAGCCCAAGGCCTACGCGGCGAGCGTGGAGTCGGCAGGGGTGAACTTCCCGGGGGCCGGGGCCGGGGGCCAGGCGCTCCCCCTGCAGGGCGCCCACTACCGGCCGCACCTGCTGGTGCCCGGCGAGCCGCTGGGCTACGGCGTGCAGCGCAGCTCCTCCTTCCAGAGCAAGGAGGCGGGAGCCTACGCGAACCTGGCGGCCAAGGGCGGCGGCGCGCAGCCGGGCGCCGCGCACGCGTTTCCGGCCGCGGGGGCCCCCGCGCTGTACGCGCCGCACCCGCACCACAAGCCGGCGCACCCGGTGCACGTGGTGGGCGCCCGCGGCCCGGTGTTCGCCGGCGACAGCCCCCCGCAGAGCCTGCTGGCGCCCTCCAGGAACAGCCTCAACGTGGACCTGTTCGAGCTGGGCGGCGCCCCCGTGCAGCAGTGGCCGTCGTCCACGCTGTCGCGCCGCGACTCGCTGCAGAAGCCGGGCCTGGAGGCGCCCGCCCGCGCGCACGCGGCCTTCCGGCCCGAGGGCCCCGCCCCCAGCAGGACCAACTCCTTCAACGGCCCCCCGCAGCCCGCGGCCGCGGCGCTGCGCGCGGGCGGGCCCGGCAAGGCCGAGCCGGGCCTGCCCTCCCCCAACACCATCACGGCCGTGACGGCCGCGCACATCCTGCACCCGGTGAAGAGCGTGCGCGTGATGCGGCCCGAGCCGCAGACGGCCGTGGGGCCCTCGCACCCGGCCTGGGTGCCCGCGCCCGCGCCCGACGGCCTGGACGCCAAGGACGAGCCCCCGCTGCCGCTGGGGGCCGCCGGCGCCTACCCGCGGGACGCGGAGTTCGGCGGCCCGGAGCCCCGCTGCCCCCCGCCGCCCTACCCCAAGCACCTGCTGCTGCAGAGCGAGCCCGAGCCCTACGACGTGGACGGGCTGTGCGCGGGCGTGGAGCACGGCCTGTGCGCGGGCGCGGAGCACGGCCTCCGCGGGGCCGCCGGCGGCCGGGGCGCCCGGGCCGAGAAGGCGGGCAAGGACCGGAAGCAGATCCAGACGTCTCCCGTCCCCGTTCGCAAGGGCAGCAGGGACGAGGAGAAGCGGGAGTCGCGCATCAAGAGCTACTCGCCCTACGCGTTCAAGTTCTTCATGGAGCAGCACGTGGAGAACGTCATCAAAACCTACCAGCAGAAGGTCAACCGGAGGCTGCAGCTGGAGCAGGAGATGGCGAAGGTAGTGTCCCCTTCTGTCCCCCCGCTTGGCCCTGCGCGTTTCGAAATTGGTGGTGGCAGCAGAGCGGCAGCCCTGTGGCCTTTCTGCTTCGCGCACGTTTATGACAAACAGTCGGTCTCACCTGGCGGCGTGGTTAGGGGCAGACGACCTGGAGAGATGACCGATGTGCAGGCTCCCTCACGGGGTCCCCCGCACTCTGCGGGGGGCAGTGAGCGCGTGCATGCGTGACACAGCCAGTGGGCAAATTACCAGACCGAGATTTGCCTTTCATTTTATGTTCTTATTAACTTTATTTTATTTGAGAGAAAGGGAGAGCATCCATGCACATGTGAGCAGGGGAGGAGCAGGGAGGGAAATGGAGGGAGGGAGAGGGGGGGAGGGAGGGAGGGAGAGAGAGAGAGAGAGAGAGAGAGAGAGAATGCTAAGCAGGTTCAGGGTTCAGTGCTCAGTGCGGAGCCAGAGCAGGAGCAGGACTCAATCCCACAACCTTGGGATTATGCCCTGAGCCAAAATCAAAACTCAGACTCTCGGGAGCCAGGGTGGTTCAGTCAGTTAAGCATCCAGCTTGGGCTCAGGTTGTGATCTCATCATTCATGAGTTTGAGTCCTGTGTCAGGCTCTGTGCTGACAGCTCAGAGCCTGGAGCCTGCTTTGAATTCTGTGCCTCCCTCTCTCTCTGACCCTCCCCTGCTCACGCTCAGCCTCTCTCTCTTTCTCTCTCTCTCAAAAATAAATAAACGTTTAAAAAATTTTGTTTTAAAAAACAGACTGTCAGCCGACTGATTCACCCTGGTGCCCCATCAAAATTAATTTTTATGGTGTGTTCTGTCCTTGTTTGTTAACAAAATTCATCAAGTTTTAGTAACATGTAAACATTTTGAAAGAGTAGAAACAAAAGGTTGAGGTTTTATAAATGGAAATTGTGGGATTTATAAAGAAAAATGTATCTGGCAATGACCTATTCTTTAAGTCTATGATTAGCAAATAGTATTTAAAATATACCTTAGTTGACACTAAACTGCTAGAGGTAATTAATCAAATGATTTAAATTAAAATGATACAGTAAATTTAAGTCACAGAAAGCCACTGATTTCAAATTCTAAAACTCAGGTTTGTGCTCTTACTTTCTGCTGTCCCATTTTCATTGACTTTTCTTTGTTCCCATGTTCCCTGAGCTGTCAAACTATTAGATTGCTCTTAGAGTTCCAGGAACTTCGTGGTCCCCTTTTCCAAAGGTGTTGATTTGTAGAGGTTTCCTTAGAGCCTAAAGTCACCAGTTTCGTGTTCCCTTTAGAGTCCAGACCTGTGTCTACGTGAGCAGGCGGAGAGCAAACCCAGTTGTCTTGCTTGTAGTATACTGGACCCATCTGTGTTCTTATTTCTGTAAATCAAGTCAGGACCCTCTCGGTTCTAAGGCGTCTCGCGCCCCAGCTGTTTCCTACCGTGGGCGCCTCTGACGTGACTCCCGTGTTTTCCATCTCCGCAGGCTGGACTCTGTGAGGCTGAGCAGGAACAGATGAGGAAGATCCTCTACCAGAAGGAATCCAATTACAACAGGCTGAAGAGAGCCAAAATGGATAAGTCCATGTTTGTGAAGATCAAAACCCTGGGCATCGGCGCCTTTGGAGAGGTGTGCCTTGCCTGTAAGGTGGACACTCACGCCCTCTATGCCATGAAGACCCTGAGGAAGAAGGACGTCCTGAACCGGAACCAGGTGGCCCACGTCAAGGCCGAGAGGGACATCCTGGCGGAGGCCGACAACGAGTGGGTGGTCAAACTCTACTACTCCTTCCAAGACAAGGACAGCCTGTACTTCGTGATGGACTACATCCCGGGGGGGGACATGATGAGCCTGCTGATCCGGATGGAGGTCTTCCCCGAGCACCTGGCCCGGTTCTACATCGCAGAGCTGACCCTGGCCATCGAGAGCGTCCACAAGATGGGCTTCATCCACCGAGACATCAAGCCCGACAACATTTTGATCGATCTCGATGGTCACATCAAACTGACGGACTTCGGCCTCTGCACTGGGTTCAGGTGGACTCACAATTCCAAATACTACCAGAAAGGTATTGTCCGACGTGCTGCACCCACCTCCTACAGCCAGACAGGACTAAGCCACCTGAGGCCGCCGGTTCCCGTCCTGGTGGCTCGTGATCGTATGAAACGATCTGTTTAATAGAAGTTAGCATGACATCCTTTTCTCCCCTGAAAGCAGTAGTATGATGTGTAAAAAAACTTTCTTGAAGTTAATGGATTTATGTTTTATTATAGGATTTTTAGGACAGTAGCCTATGGGGCGTCAGGGGAACATGCTTAGGAGCCATCATCCTGCTCTTATAAAATGAGCTGCAAAAGTCTCACCACCTCGTAAGAGTCCTCGCTAATAGCTAACGTGAATTTATCTATAGACATTGATAAGTCCAGGTAGAGGTATAGATTGGGGATAGGTTAGGTGTCAGTTAGCTCCATCTCCTGTTACCGTAGATTTTTTTTTTTTTTAAGAAATCGCTGCACCTAAAGTAGACCTCGAACTCAGAACCCCAAGATCAAGAGCGGCACAGGGTGTTGACTGAGCCAGCCTGGAGCCCCTCCCACTTCTGTTTTTTAACTCAAAGCTAATCCTGTATGTTTAATTCATTCCCATTGTCTGGCATTTAAGTCACTTTCGTTTATATTTTTTAAATGCTCTCGTGCTTTTCTTTTTAAAATTTTTTTAAATGTTTTTTATTTATTTCTGAGAGAGCAAAACAGCATGAGCAGGGGAGGGTCAGAGGGAGGGGGAGACACAGAATCTGAAACAGGCTCCAGACTCTGAGCTGTCAGCACAGAGCCCGATGCGGGGCCCAAACCCACGAACCGTGAGATCATGACTTGAGCTGAAGTCAGATGCTTAACTGACTGAGCCCCCCAGGCGCCCCGCTCTCGTGCTTTTCCATGGTCCTCCTGAACCGTGTCCTGTCAGACAGGCAGTAGACTCCTGAGACCGGCCCGAGTGCCACCCTGGCATCCCCACGGCTGCCCGAGCCCCTCCCTCAGCCCGGCTCCTGTCATTGCCTCATCTGCAATTTTTTTTTTTTTTAGTTTATTTGCTTGTTTTTGAAAGAGAAGGAGAAAGAGAGAATCGCAAGCAGACTTTGTGCAGTCAGTGCAGACCCCGACACGGGGCTCAAACCCACCAAGCACGAGATCACGACCTGAGCTCAAGTCAGGAGTCGATGCTTAGGCAGCCGAGCCCCCAGGCACCCCGTGCGTTGGTGTTGCTCACGGCTGGAGTCCCGGACCCAGGCCCCCCGGGCGGCCCCGCAGGCCAGCTGGGAGGGCTCCTCCTCTTGCGGTGCCGGGAGTGGAGCTGAGTTGCTCCCCCCTCTGAAGCGGGGGGTTTGTGGCATCGCTGAAAGGTGGGCATTCACTTCGGTTTTATTGTCTTCTCTGCCTGCCCCCGATTCCGGGCTGAAAGGGAGCCACGTCAGGCAGGACAGCATGGAGCCCAGCGACCTCTGGGATGACGCGTCTAACTGTCGGTGCGGGGACCGGCTGAAGACGCTGGAGCAGAGGGCCAGGAAGCAGCACCACCGGTGTCTGGCCCACTCCCTGGTGGGGACCCCCAACTACATCGCCCCGGAAGTGCTCCTCCGCAAAGGTAGGCGCTGCTGGCTCGGCCCCCGCCCCCCAGGGCCCCTCGAGCTGCAGCTTTTTCTGCGACTCCAAACTCTCTCACCACAGTTCTGGGCCCACGGAGGCCCGAGGGGGAAGTGATTTCCTTAACACGCGGCCCCGGCTTGTCGCGCGTCTGTTCCCTAGCTGCCCCTGCTGGGCCGGGAGGTGACAGCCTAGGTGCAGGGTGTGGGCTTTCCATCTAGACCCCAAGAGAAACCTCCACAGCTGGCTTTGGCAGAATCAGCCGTGAGGTCACGGGGACACTGCTCAGTCGGCCTGGGCCCCACACGTGCAGACCCCACGCTGCCTCCCCCCTGCCCGGCTCCCTGGGCCGCGTGCACCGTATCCTGCGGGTCCTGAAGTTCGTGAAACACAAATCTGTCTTCCCCACTTCCCCCCCAGACCAGGATTGCTGGAAGGTGCGATCTGGGCACAGTGGTGAGCACAGAGCCACAGGCACCGGTACACTTGGTCTCCTGTGTGGATGCTCTGCTCCACCAGATACGACACTTGGTCGCGTACAGGACCTTTCGGGGGCCAGTTGCTCACAGCACGGTGCGCGTGGCTCATAGTGACAGTGTAATAAATCCGGAGGTCGGTGACCTGTCTTTTCACATGTGTGGGTCCATGTCTTTGGAACCTGTTCGAACCTGCATTTTCCTTGTTGGCTGCGGAAATCTACGGCAAATCACCTTACCTCTCAGAGCCACAGGCTTCACAATAACTGCCTTGAGAGGGAGTTGTGATTATCAGGCTCACTGCCCAGTAACAGTCTCATTCTCTCCTTCCTGTGAAAGGAGGGGGGTGGCGGGTGTCTCCCCACCCCCGCCCCCACTGTCCAGCACCCCATCATGGGCAGGAGTCCAGGAATGAGGGGCCAGACTACCCCATCCCCCTGCCCCGAGTGCCAGGCTGGGGCGGGAAGGGAGGGACAGAGGGAGAACAGAGTTGGCAAGTCCTGAGGCCCAGTTCAGGTCAGCAGGGATTAGGTGACATCAACACGGAGCACGGCGGGGACTGGGAAGCAGAGCTCCGAAGGCAAAGTGAGAGAAAAGCAAAGAAGAACGAGCCTGCCCTGCTGCCTGGAGGCTGGCCCTATCCAGAAAACCTGCAGACCGTCTGCCCCGTGGCGGGTGTCCCTTCCAGGGGCTCTGCTCTGAGCCACAGAACATGGACGCCGCATGGACACGCTCTCCCTGGCCCCCCACCCCCGCACCCCCCGACAGGACATTAGGATTTGAGACTTTGCAGACTTCTTCTCCAACAAAGCTGCTGGGCTGTGTTGGAGCTAGGTGGTGGCCTTTGTCTTCCAGGGTACACGCAGCTCTGTGACTGGTGGAGTGTCGGCGTGATCCTCTTCGAGATGCTGGTGGGGCAGCCGCCCTTCCTGGCCCCCACCCCCACGGAGACCCAGCTGAAGGTACGAGCTGCGCACCTGCTTGCTGCCACCCTCGTGCTCTCGGATGAGCCCGTGCGCGTCTGGTCAGCACTGGACCCTTGACTCTGAGTTGGGTCAGAGTGCCGGCTGTGTGGATTCAGAGTCTGATTGTTGTTACCTACGTAAGAATTCATATTTTCAGAAGCAGGGCCACACAGTAAGAGCTGTTGCCACCCGTGCCCACCGGGCACATAACACTGAAAACTTTATGAACTGTATTTAGAGGGGTCGGTCGTCTGTTTGGATGTTACATCAACAGTAATCTGTTTGCAGATGATCAACTATGTGGTCAGGCTAGCAGTGCATACTTCTAATATTAACTTGAAATAAATAGGTCTTCTGTCCATCACTTAATACTGAATAGTTGTAGAATGATAGCTGTTTAGGGGCATCTGGGGGACTCAGTCAGTTAAGCGTCCACCTTTGGCTTGGGTCATGCTCTCACGGTTCATGAGTTCAAGCCTCACGTTAGGCTCCGTACTATCAGTGCGGAGCCTGCTTCCGATCCTCTGTTCCCAGCCCCCGTCCCTTTCCTGCTTGTGCTTTCTCTTTCACTCTCTCTCTCTAAAGTAAATAAACATTAAAAAAAAAAGAATGATAGCCATTTGTTCTCTGATTTGATTTGATTACTTAAGAATTGAATTGAGAATCTGATGGAATCTTTGGAACCTCTTTTTTTTGAGAGAGAGAGAGGGAGAAGGCATGTGCGTGTGAGGGGTGGAAGGGCAGAGAGAGAGAGAGGGAGAAGGCATGTGCGTGTGAGGGGTGGAAGGGCAGAGAGAGAGAGAGAGAGAGAGAGAGAGAGAGAGAGAATCTTAAGCAGGCTCCATACTCAGCACGGAGCCCAACGCAGGGCTGCATCTCACGACCCTGACATCATGACCTGAACTAAAATCAAGTGTTGACACTTATCTGACTGAGCCTTCCAGGCGCCCCGGAACTTCTTTGAGATTCACCCCTGGAATATGTGTTTACTAACAATTCTATGAAGCGTTCGTATGTCCCAGAGTCTGCATTAGACCCTTATTTAGAAAAATTCTAAATGAAGGCTTAGTTTTCACTCTGGTAAAATTGGAATTTCACATTATCTGTATCCTAGTTGAATTGCTGACCCATTCACTAATTTATTAATTTGCCTGCCTGATAATAACCCAATTTTTAAAATTGTGATAAAGTTTACCATTTTACCCGTTCTTTTTATTTTTATTTTTTTTAATATTTTTATTTATTTCTAGGAGAGAGAGAGACAGCGTGATCAGGGGAGGGTCAGAGAGAGAGGGAGTCACAGACTGAAACAGACTCCAGGCTCCAGGCTGGCAGTCAGCACAGAGCCCGACGCGGGGCTCGAACACACATACCGTGAGATCATGACCTAAGCGAAAGTCGGACGCTTAACCGACTAAGCCACCCAGGCGCCCCCCATTTTACCTATTCTTAATCTTACAGTTCAATGGCACTGAGTACACTCGCAGTGTTGTTCAACTCTAACCACTACGTGCTTCCAGAATACTTCGTGCTCCCAAACAGGGCCTGTGCTCATGAAAGTAACTCCCGATCCACCCCCCGGCAGACCCTGTAACCTCCCTTCTGTTTTCTGTCTCGATGAAGGTACCTCATTCCGTGACTGGCTGCTTTCACTTCGCGTAAGGCCTTCAGAGTTCATCCACGTAGCATGTGTCACAGTTTCCTTCCTTTTTACGGCTGAGGAATATTCCATTATTGGCGTAAACCACGTTTATTCACCGTCTGGTGATGGACGCTTGGGTTGTTTCTACCTGTGGCCGATGTGAATGGTGTACACGCCTGTCTGGGGCCTGCTCTCGTTTTGCAGCTGTGTACCCAGAAGTGGGGCGGCCAGAGCACGTGGTCATCCTGTGTTTACCAAGCTGTTGGGGAGGCAGCTGCAGGATCGTACACGCCCACCCGTGCTCGATTCCAGTTTCTTCATCTTTGTCAGCACTTACTTTACTTTTTTTTTTATGGTTGTCATCCTGTGGGTGTGAGGTGATGTCTTGTTGTGGCTTTGATCTATATTTCCCTGATGATTGGCAGTTGAGCCTCTCTTCAGGTGCTTAGTGGACGTCTGTACATCTTCTCTGGAGAATGTTTAAGTCTTTTATTTTTAAAAATTTTTTAATATTTATTTATTTTTTGAGAGACAGAGACTGAGCATGAGTGGAGGAGGGGTAGAGAGAGAGGGAGACACAGAATTGGAAGCAGGCTCCAGGCTCTGAGTTGTCAGCACAGAGCCCGACACGGGGCTTGAACTCACAAACCGTGAGGTCATGACCTGAGCCGAAGTCGGACGCCCAACCAGCTGAATCACGCAGGTGCCCCTTGCCCTTTTTAAATCAGGTTGTTTTTGTTGCTGAATTGTAGGAGCTCTTTATATATTCTGGACATTAATCCCTGATCAAGGAAATGCTTTGCAAATATATTCTCCCATTCTGGGAGTTACCTTTTCACCCTATTAATAGTGTCCTTTGGGGCGCCTGGGTGGCTTAGTCGGTTAAGCATCCGACTTTCGCTTAGGTCATGATTTCGCGGTTCGTGGGTTCGAGCCCCGCGTCGGGCTCTGTGCTGACTGCCAGCTCAGAGCCTGGAGCCTGTTTCAGTCTGTCACTCCCTCTCTCTCTGACCCTCCCCTGCTCACACTGTGTCTCTCTCTCTCTCCTAGAAATAAATAAAAAACATTAAAAAAAAATAGTGTCCTTTGGTGTATAAAAGTTTTAAATTTTGATGAAGTCCATTTTATGTCTGTTTTCCTCTTGTTGCCTGTGCATTTGGTACCATCCAAGAAATCATGGCCATGGCCAATGTCATGAATATTTTCCCCTCTCTTTTCTTCTATGACTTACAGTTTTAGCTCTACTACAACAATGACTCAAGTTCAAACCCGCGCTCCCACCCATGCACTCACCGGCCTCCATGCCTCACCCAGGGCCCCGTCACCCCAGCCCGTAGCCCATTAGTTTGGCCTTACTTTATACTGATTCTGAGTATAAATAAAGTCCCTTGGGTTTTCTCTTCACAGTAGCCACATTTCATAACAAATGTATTTACTGGTCATCTCACTGGCTAGTCTGTGCAGTTGACCATGAACATGAGGCCATAGGGTCAGCACCTTTCTTCTCATTCCCTGTAGGGTTGCCTTTTTTTTTTTTTTTTAAACTGAAACTCCAGTTGAACCTCTCTCAGCCCTAAGGACTGAGTGAGAAGCATGATGATTCTCCTGGAGGATCAGCCTCTTCATTTATGTGGAAATCACAAAATTCTCTTGCTAGAATGTGTTTCCGTTGGAAGAAACACGGTCCCTCATGGTCTATTTGGCTTTGTCACCCTGGCCACAGGCCATGAGCCCCTCCTCAGCGGCCCTGGCCTCTGAGAGCTGCTCCTGTTCTAACCCTTGTCCCATCAGGAAGGTAAAAGTATTTAAAGCCGCCTCATCACCTACTGTCTCAGCAGCGCCTGAGATCGGCCTCAAAATGTGAGGAGAAGGGAGAACTCAGGGTTTGCTTTGTCCGCAGGTGATTCACTGGGAGAACACGCTCCACATCCCGGCCCAGGTGAAGCTGAGCCCCGAGGCACGGGACCTGATCACCAGACTGTGCTGCGCTGCCGACCACCGGCTGGGGAGGGACGGGGCCGACGATCTGAAGGCCCACCCGTTCTTCGGGGCCATTGACTTTTCGAGCGACATCCGGAAGCAGCCGGCCCCCTACATCCCCAAGATCAGCCACCCCATGGACACGTCCAATTTCGACCCTGTAGATGAAGAGAGCCCTTGGAACGATGCCAGCGAAGACAGCACTAAGGCCTGGGACACACTCACCTCCCCAAACAACAAGCACCCCGAGCACGCGTTTTACGAGTTCACTTTCCGAAGGTTCTTTGATGACAACGGCTACCCCTTTAGGTGCCCAAAGCCTCCAGGAGCAGAGGCGCCGCAGGCTGAGGACTCCGACTTGGACAGTTCAGATGTGGTGGATCAGACTGAAGGCTGCCAGCCGGTGTACGTGTAGACGTGGCCCCGCCGCCCCACCCCTTCAGAGGTCCGCAGTGGGACGTTCCTCGTGGGAGGCCGGGGCCAGCCTTGTTCAAGTGAGTCCGATGGTTAGACTTCAGTGGAAGTTCTGGTCTCCCCCCAAACCCCCAAAAGAAACAACAAAGCTTTTTACAAAAGGACTCAAGTCTAGTAGATTCTGTATGAAGTGGGGGGGGGAGGTGTCCACATTGCTTTGAATTGGTTTCTGAGGACCTTCATTGCATTAAAACAATATTTTTAAAAACTTAGTACAGTTTAGAAAGAGCACTTATTTTGTTTATAGCCATTTTCTTACTCAATGATAGGGATTGACTTTGACCAGTCATGCTGCTGTTATCGTCTACATTTGTATTTTATCCGTAGCACTTACCCACATCTAGGAAAAGACAGAAAAACTGACGAACATGTGATAAGAAATCTCTGTGCAATAATGTGTAAAAAAAAAAAAAATGATAACACTGTTCTGATATTACTGATACCATTTTATTCACACAATGGTTTTTGTTTTATATTTTTCCCACATTTCAAAATTGTGATATAATGTTAAAAGCTGCTTTTTTTTTTTTTGCTTTTTGCATATTATAGTATAATAGAAAGTGTGAGCAAGGTGATTATGTGGGTGTGATTTCAGATGTCTGGTGTGTAGAGAGTACTGCATGGGCAGGGTTTTTCTGTTATAAAATTACCATATCTTGCCATTCACAGCAGGTTCTGTGAATATGTTTTTACTGAGTATCTTTAAATGAGATGTTCTAGCCAGCGTGCTGATAGCGTATCGTGTGGGTGACTTCTTCGCTGTGATTGTATCCCTTACTGTTTTGTTAAAGAAATGCCGACGTGTAACTGCGAAGTGATTTTTGTGTGTGTGTCGTGGGTATGATTGTATTCTTTGGGGGGTGAACTTCAACATTTGTCATGTACTAAACTCGTGTACATCGAAAGGGATTAATTTAGCTATGCCAAACACTTGAGGTTAGTCACGGGCCTCTGTCCGTTTGGCTAGTCACTCTTCACTGATGCCGCTGACCTGTGGAACTGGTGGCTGCCACCTACTGTCGGCAGGCTGCCCGCACCGAGAGGTTTGGTGTGTCATTCCTCCTGTGGTCCTAGACAGCTGAGGTGTGATGACCAGGGTGAAACTGAGTGCTTCCACGGTTGTTGGTTTTTTTTGGTGTGCTTTGAAGTATCAAACTTAACTGGGTTTTAAAAATACATTTTTCTAATCTTTGTAAAACAGCAAAGGTTATTCAAAGTGACATTGGAATAAAAAAAATAACTAAGCCATACATATTTTCTTAGAAGCGTAGATGTGTATATAATTACATAGGTAAACACACAAAATATTCCTTATTTCAAATTAGTATGATTCCTATTTAAACCGATTTATATCTGAGTAAAAAGTTCAATTCTTTTTTGCTTTTTAAAAACCTGACGTATCGTATAGTTCATTATATTTTTCCACATACTTTTCCTTGAGGTTTTTAGCATAACATATCCATTATTTAGCGTATATCTAGGCAACAACACTTTATCAGCGTCTAAACTAAAAAACAAAACTGTGTTCTGGTTTACATTTGTGTGAATGACAAATCCTGAAGTGTGCTGTGCTCGTACCGTGACCGTCAGTATTTCCGCTGTTGTAGTGACGCCCCGTTAGTTCTGACACCCTTTCATGTGGTAGGTTCTGTCTCAGGAACTCCGTGTAACTATTATTTATTGATATATCATTGCCTTTGAAAAGCTTCTACTGGCACAGTTTATTATTAAAAGTTTGAATCCAAACCCTTTGGTGTCACGTTGGGCTGAATTTGTGATCTGCTCTCGTCGGTGTGTTGCTTCCCAGTGACCCATATGCTGCCAGGGTCACCAGGCGCTTCTGGGGCGCTGTCACTAGAGGGAAGGGACAGGCCTCCCCAGACAGGGAGGTGGCTCAGGAGGTGAGGGTCTGAGGTGTGGCAAAAATGGGTTTTCAGTTTTTACACACACAGCTGAGATCAGAGTGTGGCTCTGTGACCCACCCCCTCTTCCGCAAGACGGTGACGAAATACACCTGGTCAGGGCTGTCGGGCGGACTAAGCGGGATAGTGAATGTGTGTGGTGGGTGATAAATCATGAATAGGAGTCGATGCCCCTGCATGAAGTGCTCAAATGGAGAGGGACCAACGCAATGCCCCGACCTTCGGTTTAAAATGGTTGGTGGAGGGGGCGCCTGGGTGGCTTAGTCGGTTAAGCGTCCGACTTTCGCTCAGGTCATGATCTCGCGGTTCGTGGGTTCGAGCCCCGCGTCGGGCTCTGTGCTGACTGCCAGCTCGGAGCCTGGAGCCTGTTTCAGTCTGTGAGTCCCTCTCTCTCTGACCCTCCCCTGCTCACGCTGTCTCTCTCTCTCTCTCTCTCCTAGAAATAAATAAAAAAAACCATTAAAAAATTAAAATAAAATAAAATAAAATAAAATGGTTGGTGGAGGGGCGCCCGGGTGGCTCAGTCGGTTGAGCGTCCGACTTCGCCTCAGGTCATGAGCTCACGGTTCGTGGGTTCGAGACCCGCGTCGGGCGGGCTCTATGCTATTGGCTCAGAGCCTGCTTTGGATCCTCTGTCCCCCTCTCTCTGCCCCTCCCCCACTTGCACGTGTGCTCTCGCTCAGAAATTAATAAAACATTTAAAAAGAATTTTAAAAAATCAAACTGTGTAGAACGGATATGCAATAAAGTGTCTCCGACTCCTTGTCCCCGCCGTTGACTTCGCCTCATAGTTTATCGTGTGTCCTTAGAGAAACAACAGCTCGTGCCCGCACGGCCCAAGGGGAGGTGTACGCACGCACGTCGTGCCGCCTGCGCACACGCGACGGCGCTGTGCCCTCGTCCCCGCACGTTCCCTCGCGTGGCCGGCTGAGGCAGCACGTGCAGACGCGCGCCGCGCGCCGCAAACCGCACGGTGTTTCTCCTCACGGGTGTGTGTTACACTCAGGCCCGCATCTACGGACGTTTCAGTTCCCGGTCTCTTCCTGGTGTCAGTAACGCCGGAATGAATAACCTCGAGAGCCATGTGCATGTGCAAGTCCGTGCGCGGGATGGGTTCCTAGGGGTGGAATTGCCGGGTCGAAAAGTTAAGTGATTTGCACGCGGGTTGCCACACTGCCCTGCACACGGCCTGGGAGGAGCCCTCTGGCCCCCTCCGTACCTCCCTGGGGATTCAGGAATGCAAAGCCCCGACCGCGACCACGGTCACACAGACGGTTTCTCAGGCCTGGGTTTGCCCTGGGCAGCCTCGAGGGACGAAGTAATGTCTCCGCCCGAGACAAAAAACAAAGCAAGCTTGCTTCTTGCCAGGAGGGGGCCGGGGCCTCGGGCTCGTGTGCGTGCGCAGCCCCGGACCTGGGGGGCAGGCCCACCGCGGCCCCCACGCTGTCTGATGCGCTGCGAGGGATGAAGTCCTGTGTGTCCGATCCCGGAGCCCCTCGTCTTACTTCGGGATCATGAAAGAGCTAGAACTAACTTAGCCCTGAGTGGGGTACAATCAAATCTGTGACCTGCCGACAGCTACTATGCCAGTATATACTCCCCACAGAAATACACGGGAGTATTCGCTTACCGCCTTGCCAAATGCACAGTGTATTACCAACCTTTTTGAGCTGTGTCCATTGACTAGATTAAAGTGTGTGTGTGTGTGTGTGTGTGTGTGTGTGTGCGCGCGCGCCTTGATGTACTTTTGCTTGACGTTCCTCTTATTTCGAAAGAGGTCGAGCGTCCTCGCCTGCTGACTATTCACTTGAATATCCTTCAAAAGGAATGGTCCTGATGTTAGGCGTTGTGTGCCTGGTGGTCCCTAAGGGAATCCCAGAAGATTTCCAGCGGCTTCTCCCTCTTCATCTTCTCTTCCTGCGCTGCCAGATTGAGTTGTTTAGCTGGGCCGACGGCCGGAGAGCAGACTACTGAAAACAGACTGCTTCCGTGTTTTTGACGAATCCCAAAGGACGCGGCAAGGACACGTCCAGGCCTGGCTTCCCCGCATCTGTGGCCACTGCTGGGTGGGACCGGAGCGCATTGAGGGGACAAACACTGCATCATTCGCAGTTTCCTTCTCTGCCGTCGTTGGCTCGCTGTGTCCCTTGATGAATCTAAATGCAAATCACGAAGAGAAAGACACCAAGCAGCGTGGCGGCTTCCTCTGAACGCCCTGTGGTCTGAATCCTTACTCTGTTGGAAATTTTTAAAATGGAGTTTATCAAATTCATCCTACTTCCTCCAGATTTTACTTATAAACCAACGTTAAAGTCTCAGTACTTAACTAATATCTTATTTCCACTAGCGAAAATTCAGCATAATAAAAAAAAAGATCTTCGCTATTAAATGCATATTCGTAAGTAGTACTAGGCTGGCATTAACCATTAATTATATCCTTTGCCATCAGCAAAGAACGTTTCCTTAGAGAATTTCAATTTGCAAAAGTGGCAGCTTAAACTTAGCAGACAAAATGTGCTTGTTCACTGTAGAAAGGAAGAAACATTTTATCCTAATAGAACACTGAGATGAAATATACATGGCCCACTGTTAAAGGGAGAAAACTAGCTTTAAAAAAATTTTTTTATAGTTTATTTATTTTTTTTAAAATATTTTTATTTATTTCTAGGAGAGAGAGAGAGAGACAGCGTGAGCAGGGGGGGGTCAGAGAGAGAGGGAGACACAGACTCTGAAATAGGCTCCAGGCTCTGAGCTGGCAGCACAGAGCCTGATGGGGGGCTCGAACCCACGAACCGCGAGATCATGACCTAAGGGAAAGTCGGACGCTCAACCGACTAAGCCACCCAGGCGCCCCTATAGTTTATTTATTTTTGATACAGAGAGAAACAGAGCACGAGCAGGGGAGGAGCAGAGAGAGAGGGAGACATAGAATCTGAAGCAGGCTCTGGGCTCCCAGCTGTCAGCACAGAGCCTGACGCAGGGCTCGAACCCACAAACCGTGAGATCATGACCTGAGCGTGAGATCATGACCTGAGCGGAAGTCAGGAGGCTAAACCAACTGAGCCACCCAGATGCCCCAAGGGAGAAAACTAGCTTGAATGGCAACTTTGTTTCTCTTTTGCAACTCACGTCAGACAATTGAAAACTGTTTTCACCATCAAACAGACTTGAGGAAACTGGAGGAAAGATTACTGTATTTACTGATAGTTTTGCTCACTGTGTCTTTCTTCCCGATGTTGTTAGGTTTTTTTTGTTTTTTTTAATCTTTTCCTTTCTTGTTAGAAAATGTCCTTTATCCATTCTTTTAGGATTAGGTCAACTGGCAACACGTTTTCTGCAGTTTCCCTCATCTGAGGATGTCTTCCTTGCCCCTTCTGCTCTGAAAGCTATTTTCGGTATGTCTCCTTGAGGTATCATCCTATTTTGGAGGTAGGATTCTAGACTGATGGCTGTCCTTCCAGCATGTGACAAAGACTGCGCCACCTCCTTCCAGCCTGATGGCCTCTGGTGAGAATCTTGGTCGCTCTAGCTTCCCCTACAGACCAGGTGTTTTTCTCTGACTGCTTTCAACACGTTTTCTCTGATCGCTTTTCAGAAGTTTAATTATGATATGTGTTGGCTTGGAGTTCTTTGAGTTTACCTGGTTTGTGGTTCGCTCAGATTCTTGACTATGAAGGCTCATTTCTCTTGCCAAGTTTCTGAGTCTCTGGCCATTTTGAGAGCTGCTTCATCCCTGCCCTGCTTCTCCCGTCCTCAGCACTCGGACGACACAAGTATTACATCGCTTGTTCTCTCTGAGGCTCTGTCCATTCACACCCCCATCTCGGTGCCGTGCAGGTTGGGTAATCTCTATTGTCCTGTCTCTTAGTTCACAGGTTCTTTCCTCTGTCCCGCCATTCTACTCCTGAGCCCATCCACTGGGCTTTTTATTTTATTGTATTTTTTAGTTCAAAAAGTCCCATCTCATTCTTCATATCTCTACTTCTTTGCTGAAACTTTCTTCTCAACCTTTAGGAAGTGCAGTTGCTCCTTGAAGCACTTATTACGGCTGTTTAAAATCGTAGACAATCCAGTATCTCAGTGTTGTCATCTATTGATTTTTTTTTTTAAGATAGTCCTGTTTCTTCGTTTGATAAATGATACTCCATCGAAACCTGGCCATTTTGCTTTATGATCCAAGACTCTGGACCTTCTGTTCTAGCTGGCTGTCGTTGGCATCGCTCTGGCTACGAAAGAGGGACATACTGCTGCTGTGTTGCTTGGTGGGGGTAGAAGCCCCCACTTGGCCTCTTTCGTTTCTCAGGGACGGAGCAGTCTCATCGTTACTGCTGAGCAGAGGTGAAGTACCTGCTGTCCGAGTTGTGTCCACTGACATCACATCGGGTGGCCTCATTAGTACTGAGCAGTCCTGACTCTTGCGTGAGGCCCTCTCTGTCACCCCCCTGGTGAGGGAGAGAAGGGGATGCCTCGTTATGGTCACACAGGTATCGAAGTCCAGCTCCCCACATTTTCCACTTAGTCTACCAAGTCGGGGAAGGTGTCACCAGCCAACAGGGATGAACATCTCAGCTTCCTACGAGGCATTCTCTGAAGTCAGCCCGGCAGGAAGCCTCATTTCAGCCTTGCAAGGGTAGAACCCCGGGCTGCCGCGTTCTGCCTCTGCCAGCGTGGCATTGCTGGAAAAGTATGTGGTGCCCCGGTTTTTTCTGTGGCTATTGGCTGGCTGGAGCAGAGAGGTTATGGCCTAAAAGCTGTCTTGCTAGTCTACCCCTTCTTTCTTCTTTGGTAGAGAGAGCAGATTTTTCTTGGGACCTTTTTGTCTGT